CATAGCTTCTATTATTGATAGCTCCCACTATTTCACTATCGTGAATAGTTCTCTAGAACCTCAAAGAATTGGTAATACCTTCTTATTTTCTTATGTTGGAGGATCCACCTTTTGGTGGCAACCACAAAGACAATAAGCAGATATTACACACTCAAATCTGGCTCTGATACCAATTGTTGCGGAAGACGACTATCGGATAGAGCAAAATCGCAACTGATAATTTGAGAAAATAAAAATGAAGATAAAAGAGACACAAAATTTACGTGGAAAACCCCTGAATAATATAGGGTAAAAACCACGGGCAACAGTAGAAGAATTTCACTATGAGAAAATATGAATTACAACTTCTCTCGATCTACCAAGGAGAAAACAATGATAATTCTCTCTTGATAAAAATGAGAAAATAACTTTCAAGAAACTCTCTAAATTCTCTCTAGTATTGGAAGAAAGCTAGAATGCTTTGGGATGATTTTGAAGCTAAATGAGCTAGGGTATTTATAGTTGAAACTTAAGGACTAATCTTATAAATACCATAAATTACAATGACTAAAATTAATTATCCCATTACCCAATTTCAACAAAAATTAGGTGCCTAATTTTTGACTTTGACAAAGCATCATTTGGTGCCTAATTTGGTGCTTAAATTATTTGACTTTTAACAGCATCGGTGGTCTGGGGTGATATGACAAAGACAACACAACTGTAACTTTCAAGTATTTCTCGTGCCAGAGTCAGTCCGGCAACAAAATTCCATGTCATGTTGTCTTCAATCATGTTTTCCGAGAAGAGTTCGGCGCCGAATGGTGTGAGGGAATGCATCTGTGTCTGCAAATACATATAACAGCAGAATAAATCATCTATAGTGAGCAAGAGAAAAAACAAAAAATCAAGTAATATAGTTATATGACTGCAATTGGACATATTAAATATCTTCGTCTCAATACTTAAAAAGCTTTCATATTTCACAGAGGCATTTTAATGCAGGAAGCCAGGAACTACAGAGAATAAGACATCATCCGAAATAAGGGGACAACACACGGACAAAAAAAATAATCAATTTAGAATCTTGACTAGCAACAGAAAAGGTGATACACTTGCATTCCATACTATCTAATCTGAACAAGAAAACAAAGGCTATCACGGGAAAAGAATTTCCAGAAATACCATATAGTGCATATCCAGTCCATCATCATCAATTACCAGTAAAGCACCACCTGCTGGTGCACTGGTTCAAACAATTTCAACCTTAACCCCAACCCGGGCTCATAATAATGCATGCTCTATCAAATTGCTCAAGGCTTGGCGCAAAGCGGGTTCTTCTATTGCCACTTGCAAAGGCTGTGAGAGTTTGCTTAATTCCACCAAGTGTTGATGCATATGAGCAAGAGGTCTCACAGCATCAACTAAATCAGTGAGTACATCAGAAATATTGCAGGAGTTCCTGATAAAAGAGAACAAACGTAATCAAAATAATAATAATAATACTGCATAATGGATTCAAAAGTAGAAATATATTGCATGTCCAATAGGGGATGTGACTTATTCTCAAGGCTATTTACAGGAAAGATAAACAGTTAAGCCTATATTCAGCTTTAGACTACGAAATAGACTCACAGTATGAGTTCAGGCTATAATCTCTATAGTCTCCAACAATTAGCATCATAAACAATTTTCTACATGATTTTTAAAATCAAATTTCAACAGTAAATGAGGTGCCTACAACTGGAACATAATTTATATATTGAGCACTGTTCTAGTTTTCCTTTTTAGGAGGAGATGGACTTGAGTAATTTCCTGAATGAAATTGCATACCTGATCCCATTTTCTCGTAATGGGGCAAGAGCCAGTGGTGGCATTGGCATCTCCAAATCCCTGCTTGTTGTACTCAGAGATAGTAGTAAACCAGAGGTTTCTGACTTATTTCTGGAACTATCCCCGGAGAGATCATGTGATAATTGAGATCTCAGCAGCTCCGGACGGGAATGACTTGAATTACGCATCTTTTTCAAAGATTCTTCATTGTGATGCATTATATTAGCCTAAAGAAAAGTCAGATGGGAAAGTTAACAGAAGTGCAAGTGTTGCATTCTTCATATAAAACTAATATATTACAGTATCACAATAAAAATATTACAGAAGACAAATCCATGAGAAGGTTGATCCGAAAATTACCTTTGTCAAGTGAACAGCATCTTGTAATTCTGTAAGGGTGTCCTTGATACGGTCACCTTGCACTAATATGTCTTCAACAATGTCACGAGAAATCTGCAAGATATACTTTCGCTAATTATATACAAGAGAATCAAAAGATTAGAAGCATGAAAGCCTTGAAACCAAAAAGTAGGACCAACGTTTTTCAGATGGTCTAAGAAATAACCTCATTTTCTTTGACATGGGTGGACAGCATTTTACTCAAAGTCCGTATGCTAGAAATAGGACCGCTAATCTGTAAGAAATATGCTAGAAATAGGACCGCGAATCTGTAAGAAAATTTTGAAGTTCAGTGAAAAATAATGTAACTTGAACAAAAGAGAGAGAAAAAAATTATCTACCGCAGGAAACAAATTTTACCTGCTCAACAAGAGCACCCATTCTGACATTGTTTTGCCATGTTGATTGCTGCAGTAGAATATCTTTCTGTGGAAGAAATTCGGTTAATGTCAATTTTCTATGCAACTTGGAATGCACCAAAAGTTGCAAAATGTAGAGAGACATTCTGGACATATAACCAAATTTTTTTTGATAAAATGAGGAAACAGTGATCATTGACAACAATTAGAGAAGACTAAATTAGGTTCCTTAGGTTAAGAGTTTTGCCACAAAACAAATTCAGCAAAAATACCACAAGAAAGTTTGCCTTGGTGTATAACCACTCCTCAAAAACAAAATACAAATCCCTCTTTCCCAACAAAAAGCAACAACAGTAAAACTAGAGTTTGAACCATCAAAGTTGCAGTAAATTGAATACTTAACTGACATAGAATAGAGTAGATTCAGCAAACGTCTACGACGCTTATGGAATTTTTCACATTCATGGACGACCTTTAAGACTCAATTTACTCGAGTGCAGATGAAGAGAGATAAACTTCTTAATGCACAAAACCGCTATGCTTTCTAAAACCAGGGGACCAGAAATGGTGGAGCAAGTGAGATTATTGAGCACAGAACTTAGAGAGTTGCAGTCTGCTAAGGAGAGTTTTTCATGGTGACTTGGCAAGATGTATCCAATTCCTACTCGTGCAATATTTCAGCAAATCAAACAACATGCTATTCAATTGAACTTGACTACCAGTTATCTAATCCTGAATAGCTCTCATAGAATAGAATTGCATGCACAAGTTACCCTCAGAGTTGGAATCTAGGGCTTTGATACCAAAGTGGAGCATTCATATACATTATTGGTAGCAAGAAAGATAACAGACAAATGCGACTAACCTGATCCATAACATAAGCCACAGCTAAAGTACGAGATATATAAGCCACAATTAAAATTAAAGGGCTAAAATAGGGATAAAATAAAAGTTTAGCTATGGAAGTTGTAGTTTATCCAAATTAAAATCAAATAATGAGGGTATTTAGGGCTGCAATTCAATCCGCGTTTCATCCTTGTTTCTCGCATTCTCATGAAATATCTATCCTTTACTATTCGGACAGTTATCTAAAACCACAACACTCCATGAGAGGTATAATTTCCTTTGGCTTTTTTTTATTAAACTAAGTCGAATATAAAGTAATATATGTTTTAAATATTATTAATTATTTAATGATAAATATTTAATTATTTTATTGTAGGGATTTATATTCAAATCTATGACCTTTAGACAGTACTTTTTTTTAACCATCAAAATAAGTTGTTTCGTGCAACGTGTTCTTGTGGTTATTGGACCTATGGAAGTTTCATTGCAATCTCTTCACCACATTTTTAACGCAATGAGTTTGGAGTTATGGAAGTCTATGCATTATTATATTTAGCGTAAATTACATAAATCATCACTTAATTTTCTTTTCATTTTTATTTTAGTCACTCAAGTTTATAATATTTAATTTAATAACTCAATTTTATACAATTAAACATTTTGATCACTCCTGCGTTAATTTACTAACATAGTGATGACTTGACATTTTAAATTAACTTTTTTCCCTTTTCTAATTTTTATATATTTTTGTTCGTGGGACGTATGCATGGCATGGCTAGAACATCAGCTCCAATTAAAGCCATTTGACAAAACTCCTAAAAGGCCATCTCTTATCATTCTATGGTAGTAGGCAGGCAGCTTTGTTTACAAATATGTGCCTGCATGCATGCTTTTTAATATGAAATGAAGGATGCTCTTTTTCATCGTTTTTCACATTAGCCTTGTCTTCTGAACCATCCATTGATATGCTGTTTTCAATTTTAATAGATGATTGGGATGAGAATTAATCAAATCAAAATCCAACACTTCTATCATAAAGAATAGCCACAGTGCCAAAAGCTTTCCTCTGTATACATACTGTGGCTGCAGACATAGCAAAACACATGGACATCGGAGAACCGGGTAACCATTGACCCCCACTTCTCAGCCTGGAAATATGTGAGAAAGACGACAACCCCATTAGGAATCAGATTCCATTTTCTGGATTCCTAGATTTATAGTCTGCCCACCTGCAACCCTTGATAGCTAAAATGTATGTAAATTGCCATATTCTGATACGAATGATTGTTTTTGAATAGCGTGTGAACATTATTTCATTACTTTCCTGTTGAAGTTGGCCAATTATTTGAAGCAACGATGTAGTTGATGAATGGGTGATTAGACAAGTGAGCTCAGAGGATAGAGTCTTGTTCAATGCAAGCACCCAAATACATAAATTCATCCAAGGATAGCATGCTACAAATCAACTTGAGAGGGTAAAAAAATAGAAGCAACTGTATATATATGTTATATTTTGTGTTCAAGATTTTATTTTGCCTATATCTCAAAGAACTACTTTTTTTGATCTGATCACGATTGTTAATCATGCACGATCCGATAGGAATTCCGGCTTTCTTTTCATCTAGTGATCACCCTGATGAGCCAACAAGCGTAGGCAGATCGGGGCAGAGTGTTTTCAGGTCGGTGTATCGAACGAAGCTTGCCGGTGAGAGTCGCCTGATTACGGTCAAGTGGTGCAGGAACCTTTTAAGTCGTGTTCTATCCGTTTCGGTTCAAGGACTGGATGGCTATGAGCATTGCAGGTGCAAAGTTGAGCTGAAGCCGTGGAGTTTCTGGAGAAAACAAGGCTCAAAGCATTTCTTCATCGACGATATTAGTGTCGATGTGGTTTGGGACATCAAGGCAGCCGAGTTCAATGGAGAGACCGAGCCGCAATCAGATTACTTCGTCGCCATTGTTTGCGAAGGCGAGGTCATTTTACTCTTGGGAGATCAAAAGAAAAATGCTTATAGAAAGACAGGTTGCAGGCCATCTCTTATTGAACCAATACTAATCTCCAGCTGGGAACATATATTTGGCAAGAGGAAGTTCACAACGAGGGTTAAGTTTAACGACAAAGGAACCTTTCACAATGTCTCGGTCGAATGCAACTCTGACGGAATCGATCCGGTATTGGAGATAAGAGTCAACAGGAAACTTGTAGTTGAAGTTCAGCATCTACAGTGGAAATTTAGAGGTAATGAATCCATTAATGTTGGCAAAAATGGATTACAAGTTTTCTGGGATGTTCATGATTGGCTCTTTGGTTCGGGTCCGAGACATGGCCTTTTCATATTTAATCCAATTCCATCGTCATCACTGTCGAATCAGGAACTCGACTCTGCATCAGTAGATTTTGGTTCTGCAATGACTTCATCCAGGTTCTGCTTATTTCTCTATGCCTGCAAAGTGGATTGAAAGAACACATTTATGCTAGTTTACATGATTAATTATCGTTTATGACATCATAATTAAAGCTCTTTTCAACATGATTGAGAACTGAGAGGTTCCATTGGAACAGAAGGGCCCGGAACAAAGCTGGAAGACAGGATTTGACAAGCCAGATTGGAGGACTTTTGGAAGTTTCTCCAATAATTCTTCCATCTCCACTGTCAAATCGACATTTTCCCTTTGTTTTCTTCTGTAGTTTTACTTTATTCGGATAAATCCTTAAAATCTTTTGAGTGTGTATGGGGAAGATATTGTATGCAGTTGTTGATGATGATGTATAAGTGTTTTTGTCCTGCAAATCAACAATCTCGTGCTCGTAAGTTACTTGAATTATGCTCGAGTCAAGTCGAGCTTTGATCAATTGGAACTCAAGCATAAATAATCTTGTTCGAAATCGAACTACACGGACATGATATGTGAGAGCTTATAGACAAGCTTTGATTATACGAAGTGGAGATCTGAAAGAGAGGCAGATAGCCATCCAAAATCCTACAGGCAACCCAATAGTTTGCAGCTTCAGTATAATGAACACCATCCCAACTAATATGTTTAGAGGGATCACATAAAGAAGCCCCAAAGATTTCAGCACTGTCCACCACGGCGGTCCTCCCACATATGACACGATGATCACAGGAACAAAATGTAGAAGGATCGACAAACCCTGCAGTCGCCGAGTCGATTATGGTAGTAATTGATGAAAATTTCAGAGGAAATGTTACACAACTGTAAAATACCATACTTATTGCTTCACTAATCAGAGAATATTTAACCGAGTAGATATCGACATATATAAGCCTTGCACCATGGAGCTGTGCCCTAAGCTGAGAAATCCTGTCTTTCAGTTGCTATCTGAACTCTTTAGCCAACTCATTGTAAGACTTAATGCAGCCGTTTTGGTCGGCATTCTGGCCAGGATTTGGAGGGGAGCGTGTAACGAGAAAAGGCAAGCAGCCAAGGGGACCAGTATTATGTATCCAAAAGAATCTTGTTCCTTGAAAGAGCTTCTGAAAATACATAAAAATGTAAAAAGAAGCACAATACAAGTCATTAAACGTTGTGTTTCTGACTTCTTGTCTTTTAAATCGAAACGGATATAAAGAAATACCTCGATTGCCATAGAAAAGTGACTGATTAAACTGGGAATGGATGCCTTAACCTGATCCTATGTAGTTATCGTAAGGCCATAAGCCAGATCATTTTGCCCACAATATATTTGTTGAAAAATCAAACCACATAGGCTGCTAAGCAGCCGGTGACTTTGAAAAAAAAATTATTAAAAGCCAATTTTGTTGATTTTTATATGGTCAAATTACAAACTTTAGTCATTAAACTTTAGTGTATTTACAAGATTAAGTCCTTAAGATTTAGCTATAAATACCCTATCCCATTTGGCTTCAAAACCATCCCAAAGCATTCTAGCTTTCTTCCAATACTAGAGAGAATTTAGAGAGTTTTTTGAGAGTTGTTTTCTCCTTTTTATCAAGAGAGAATTATCATTGTTTTCTCCTTGGTCAATTGAGAGAAGTTGTAATTCCTATTTTCTCATAGTGAAATTCTTCTACCGTTGCCCGTGGTTTTTACCCTATATTATTCAGGGGTTTTCCACGTAAATGTTGTGTCTCTTTTATCTTCATTTGTATTTTCTCAAATTATCAGTTGCGATTTTGCTCTATCCGATAGCCATCTTCCGCAACAATTGGTATCAGAGCCAGATTAGAGTGTGTAATATCTGCTTATTGTCTTTATGGTTGCCACCAAAAGGTGGATCATCCAACATAAGAAAATAAGAAGTTATTACCCATTCTTTGAAGGTTCCAGAGAACTATTCACAATAGTGAAATAGTGGGAACTATTCACAATAGTGAAATAGTGGGAACTATTCACGATAGTGAAATAGTGGGAGCTATCCGTAAAAGAAGCTATGGCAACGAAATTTGATATTGAAAAATTCAATGGGAGAAATTTCTCATTGTGGAAATTGAAGATGAAGGCTATCCTGAGGAAAGACGGTTGTCTAGTAGCTATCAGTGAAAGGCCTGTGGATTTCACAGATGACAACAAATGGATCGAAATGGACCGGAATGTTATGGCAAACTTTCATCTAGCATTAGCAGATGAAGTATTGTCAAGCATCGAGGAAAAGAAGACAACTAAGGAGATATGAGATCATCTCACCAAATTGTACGAGACCACATCGTTGCACAATAAAATTTTCCTTAAGAGAAAATTGTACACTCTTCGTATGCCAGAATCTACTTCAGTGACGGAGCACTTAAATACACTGAACACTTTATTTTCTCATCTTACATCCTTAAGCTGTAAAATAGAAGAACAAGAACGTGCTGAACTTCTACTTCAAAATCTACCAGATTCGTATGATCAACTCATCATTAACTTGACAAATAGTAATGTCACCAGTCTAGTCTTCGATGACGTTGCAGCTGCTGTTCTACAAGAAGAAAATCGGCGCAAGAACAAGAAAGACAGACAAGTAAATCTGCAATAAGCAGAAGCATTGAAAACGATGACAACGACGAGAGGGAGATCGACAGAACGTGGCCAAAGCAGCAGTCACAAATATGGTAGATCGAAGTCGAGGAGCAAGAAGAATTTAAAGTGTTACAACTGTGGAAAGAAGGGTCATTTGAAGAAGGATTGTTGTAGTCTAAATAAAAACTCCAATCCACAAGAAAATACCGCAAACACTTCAGATGATGGAGATGCTCTATGTTATGAAGCGTCAACCACCGTGGAAGGTAGAAAAAGATATGCAGATATATGACTCATTGATTCGGGAGCAACATATCACATAACCTCAAGAAGAGAATGGTTCCATCATTATGAACCTGTCTCAGGAGGATCTGTGTATAGTTGCAATGATCATGCCTTAGAGATCGTTGGCGTGGGAACCATCAAATTGAAGATGTATGATGGAACAATCAAAGTTGTTCGAGATGTGCTGCACGTGAAGGGCCTGAAGAAAAATTTATTATCCTACGGATTGTTGGATAATAATGCAAGCAAGATTGAGACACGGAAAGGAATCATGAAGGTGTTCTATGGAGCGATTGTGGTGCTGAAAGGCGAAAAGATAGCAGTAAACTTGTACATGCTGAAGGGAGAGACTTTGCTAGAAGCAGAAGCCTCTGTTGCCTCATGTAGTTCAGATTCTGCAATACTATGACATCAGAAACTTGGACACATGTCAGAACAAGGAATGAAAGTTCTTATGGAGCAAAAGCTACTCTCAGGCTTAACAAAGGTATCATTTACTTTGTGTGAGCATTGCATAACAAGTAAACAGCACCAGTTGAAATTCAACACGTCAAATTCTAGAGGCAAAAATGTTCTAGAATTGGTTCATTTTGACGTATGGCAAGCACCAGTTATATCCCTAGGTGGAGCAAAATACTTTGTATTATTTATTGATGACTACTCTAGGAGATGTTGGGTGTATCCTATTAAGAAGAAGTCAGATGTGTTTTCAACTTTCAAAATCTTCAAAGCGCGGGTGTAACTTGATTCTGGAAATAAGATCAAGTGTTTCAGAACAGATAATGGAGGAGAATACACAAGCGAATAATTTGATGACTTTTGCAGGAAAGAAGGCATCAAAAGACAGTTCACAGTGGCAAACACTCCTCAACAAAATGGAGTGGTAGAGCGGATGAACAGAACCTTGTTAGAAAGAACAAGAGTAATGTTGAGGGATACAATCCTAGAAAAATCATTCTAGGCAGAAGCAGTCAATACCGCCTGTTATTTGGTGAATCGAGCTCCATCAACTGCAATAGAGCTGAAGACACCAATGGAGATGTGGACTGGTAAACCGGCTGATTATTCAAACCTCCATATATTTGGAAGTATTGTGTACGTGATGTACAACTCCCAAGAAATCTCAAAGTTGGATCCAAAATCCAAGAAATGCAAATTCTTGGGGTATGCTGATGGAGTCAAGGGGTATCGCTTGTGGGATCCCACTGCCCGCAAAGTGATCATCACCAGGGATGTTATCTTTGTAGAGGATAAACTACAAAGAAAAGAAGACGATGATAGCACTGAAAAGTCAGAGACTACACAGATAAATGCGGAAAAGGAGTTTGAACAAGGAGATTCTTCTGAAGCAGAACTAGCACATGATGAACAAGAACCAGAGAGTTTTGAAGCACCAATAACTTGTCTATCAGATTGTATGAGAAGACGTCCCAATTGGCACTCAGATTATGTTATAGAAGGTAATATTGCATACTGCCTTTTAACAGAGGACAATGAGCCATCAACATACCAGGAGGCAATAAACAACTCAGATGCTTCACTGTGGATGATGGCGATGCAAGAAGAAATTGAAGCCCTTCATAAAAATAATACATGGGACCTTGTGCCACTACCACAAGGAAGGAAGCCAATTGGTAACAAATGGGTCTTCAAAATCAAGCGAAATGGTGACGATCAAGTTGAGAGGTATCGTGCAAGACTGGTGGTCAAAGGATATGCTCAAAAAGAAGGTATTGATTTCAATGAAATATTTTCTCCTGTAGTTCGACTAACAACAGTTCGAGTAGTTTGGCAATGTGTGCTACATTGACTTACATCTAGAGCAGCTAGATGTTAAACAACTTTTCTTCATGGAAATCTTGAAGAAGAGATTTACATGCTCCAGCCTGAAGGTTTTGAAGAAAAAGAAAAGAAGAACTTGGTTTGCAGGTTGAACAAATCTCTGTACGGTCTAAAGCAGGTGTCGAGGTGTTGGTATAAGAGATTTGATTCCTTCATTATATGCCTTGGATATAACAGACTTAATGCAAACCCTTGTACTTATTTCAAGAGGTCCGGTGATAACGATTTTGTTTTATTGCTGTTGTATGTGGATGACATGTTGGTTGCAGGACCCAACAAAGATCATATGAAGAATTGAAGGCACAACTGGCTAGGGATGCAAATTCCCGAGACAGAAGTAATAGGAAGAT